TCTCTCTCTCTCTCTCTCTCTCTCTCTCTCTCTCTCTCTCTCTCTCTCTCTCTCTCTCTCTCTCTCTCTCTCTCTCCACCCCAAAACCCCAATCCTGTACACAGACACACACCGAGGCTCTGCGCAGCAAATATCTCCCCCAACCTCCCAAGCGGTGACAAATGATTTCTCACATTCCCAATTTGGAAACAAGTCTCTTTCTCTTCCTGTACTCTCTCACACGCAGAAGTTATGCACATCATTCAGTATCTACCCCAGCCTCCAAAACGGCCGTCAACAATTTTTCACATTGCCGATCTTTGTCTTCCACTTTGTGAGCAATGCCCACAAAGTGAGGAGCAGCAGTAGCGATCGGTTGATACCACTGCATTCGGCGCAAGTTTCAGGCTAGATACACTGATAATGACCGTGAGCGGAGTAACATAAGTGAGGAGGTGCATTAGCGATTAGCCCGCTGTGCACTTCACTTCCTTCCGTCTTTCCTCGAATAGAACGCGCGGTCATTATCACGGTAGCTAACCTGAAACTTGCGCCAAATACAGCTCTGATCACTGTGCGTTCTATTCGGATGAAGACAGTAGGACTAATCACGTGTATGTCTGTACATATTGTCACACTGTGAATCAGAGCGCGAAGGCGAAAAAAAAAAGAAAAAAAAAAAAGGAAAGGAAAAGAAGGATGGAAGGAAAGCCCCACCTGTTCATCACCTCTTACGTACAAGGCCAGCCACGTGGATGACAGGTGGAGCGCTGGCTGCCCCCATCCCCGTGTGTCACAAGGACCCACTTGCACGCAGCCAAAAGGCAAAAAAGAGGAGGTAAAGAAAAGGAGAGGAGGAAACCAGACCAGACCTCACAGAGGCATATATATTGTCACAAGAATGTCAGAGCGCAAATGCGAAAAAAAGCTAGGCTACCAGAGTGGCCCGGGGTCACTTGCCCGGCCGGGCCAAAAAAATAAAATTAAAATTAAAAATAAATTTTTTATTGCGTTTTTTATTTTAAATTTGGTAAAGACTTTCGATGTGACCCTGAGGCAAAGGTTGTTCAGTTTATTTTTCTACATAACATAGTTTTTCTCCGGATTTTTTCGAGTTTCGTTTTTTTTTTGTTTTTTGGGCTGGGACCTTCTCTGGTCCTTGCACGGGCTGGCCACCCGGGACCCGGGTGGCCCGGCTGGTAGCCTAGAAAAAAAGGAAAAAACAAAGGAAAAAAAGAAAGAAAAACAGGAAAACATGAATTCAGTTTTTTATCTTCTTCCTTATAACTCCCCCTGTTCAGAACCTCTTCCGTACAAGGCCGCCCAAGTGGATGTAGGTTGAGCGGCGGCTGCCCCCACCCCCGTGTGTCATATCGACCCACTTGCACACAGCCAACGGGCAAAGAGGCAAAGAAAAGAGGAAGGGAACAGCCAAATAATACAAAACAGGGGGCAACAAAACAGATCCGAGATGACATATACAGATCCACGAACGGACCAACCTAACAAGACGCTTGATTTCGTCCAGATACAGACAATCGGCGTGATGGTGGGGCTGATGCTAATGGCCCTGGTCATCATAATGTTGGTCGTGGCTGTCATCTTCCTGGTGGTCGTGCAAAAAAAAAAAAGAAAAAAAAGAAAGCACATTTCAATGACAACGAAAAGAATATTCCGCTAGAGCATGGAAAAAAAGGTACACCGCCATTTTTTGCCCGAAGGACGGATACTTTTTAGAGAAGGGGCCCATGCTGGCGGGCCAGTGCAATCTTCCCCCGCATCGATCTCTTGCCTTTCCTCTCGTCTCTGCGATCATTTCGTCACCGAGAGATCAAACAAAAAAAAAATAAAAAAAAAAATCCTCCTTTCTTCCTTTTCCTCCCTTCAGGTTGGATCCATCCGCTGCTGTCCCCCCGTCTTTCTCTGCCCAGAGGTCCACCGCGCTCCTCCGCCTCGACCACCTTCCCCCTCCCCCTCCCCGTCATCATTCTTCTCCTCTGCCACGCTCCTCTTCGCCTACCTTCCCTCCCCTCCTCCCCCTCACCTTCCTCCTCCCCATCATCGACCTCCTCCCACCCCGATCCCCTTCTTCGCCACCGTCCTCGAGATCCTCTTCCCCCGTGATCATCCTCTAGATCCTCCTCCCCGTCATCATCCTCCGGATCCTCCTTGTCATCGTCGTTTGCCTCCTCCTCCTCCTCCCCCTCCTTCCCATCTTCATCCTCTGGATCCTCCTCCTCCTCCCCCTCCTTCCCATCATCATCCTCTGGATCCTCCTTCCCATCATCATCCTCTGGGCCCTCCTCCCCGTCATCATCCTCTAGATCCTCCTTCCCGTCATCGTCGTTTGCCTCCTCCTCCCACTCCGACATTCCCGCCTACGCTCCGCCACGCTCCTACGGATCCTCCTCCCCGTCATAGTCTGCCTGCCCACCCAGAGGAGATATTAAAAAAAAAAAAAAAAAAAAAAAACGAAAAGAAAAGAAGACCACTAAACACCACCACCCCCACCGCTCTGCCACGCTCATATTCTCCAGTCGCCATCTTCCCCCTGCTTCGATCTCTTCCCCGTTCTCTCTCCCCTGCCTCCGCTCGGCCATGCTCCTCTCGACATGCACAATAGACAAAAACCCATGGCAGTGAATCTTTCCATGGTATACGGAAAGATTCAGTCTCGAGACACATGTAGTGAGGCCCACAATATATCTTTGCATGTTCCAGCGGAGGATTCAGTCTCAAGACACATGTAATGTAGTGAGGCCCGCTGGCTGTGACATCGAGTCACCCCGAATCTCCTGGGAAAGAAAAACGACCGACCGACGATGTGTACCCACGCGCCACGAGACCCAAAAAAAAAAAAAAAAAAAAGCGCGAAACGTCATGTGCGGCGCGCTGCTGTGTACTTGTATGCGAATGTGAGCAGCCGCCCCTGCGTCCCAGACAGCGCCTTCGGGCCCGCGAGCACCCGCCCCTGTCACGCACCCGTTCCCAACACTGGGCGGCATCTCGATCGGGAGCGTTACGCGAGACCCGTTATTTTTTGCTTAAAAAAAAAAAAAAAAAAAAAGTTAAGGATAATCGTGACCGTCACTCGAGATGGTGTTAATACGTCAAAATGCCCATGGTGGTCAATTCGTGCTGCTGATGATGATGACCATGATGAGATGGTGTTGAGGCTAGTGATGCTGCAGACGCTGGTGATGCATATGATCCTGGTGATGCTGGCAATGCTGGTGATGGTGGCGATGGACGCGCCGATGGGGGGCGATGGGGGCGATGGTGTTGATGGACGTGATGGGGTTAAACAAATTGCTTTCTTACTTAAAGAAAAAAAATATCTCATAACAATATAATAATAGAAAGAATTCCTTATTTATCTAATAGAATTAAAAAATATTATTATTACAATCCACTCGATGGGGGGGGGATGGGGGCGATGGTGTTGATGGACGTAATGGGGTTGATGGGGGTGGTGATGGTGATCGTCGAGATGATAGACATTCATGATGATGATGGCGATAACTGCGGCGATGATGACGGCGAGGCCGGTGATGCTGGCATTCGTGTCGTCGTCATTGTAGCCATGGTCGTGATGAAAGGCGGCCATAGAGACGAAGATGCGCATGAGGGTGGGTGGCAGTGACAAGGGTGATTTTATGGAGGTAATCCAGAAAAGCGCATGACGATGATGAAGATAACGTCCGCAGACCTTTTTCATCGCGTTAGGGACAGCCGCCATGAAGGTGGAGGTCGCAATGGGCCGCTATGGTGATCTATTAATATTGACTTATGACTAGTAGTATTAGCCTCTTACCTAGGCTACCAGAGTGGCCCGGGGCCACTTGCCCGGCCGGGCCAAAAAGAATTAAAAATAATAAAAATAAAAATATATATATTTTTAAATTTTATTTTTTGTTCTAAATTTGGTGAAGAATTTCGATGTGACCCTGAGGCAAAAGTTGTTCAGTTTATTTTTCTGCATAACATAGCTTTTTTTTCGGATTTTTTGGATTTCGTGTTTTTTTTTTTTTTTTTTGCTGGGACCTTCCCTGGTCCTTGCACGGGCTGGCCACCCGGGACCCGGGCGGCCCGGCTGGTAGCCTAGTATGTATATATATTATATATACATATATATGATATATAATATATCGTCACAAACAGAACT